CCATCAAAACACGCCTTGCAAGGTCGTGGAAGATCACCAAAAAAATCACAAAAAATACAAAAAATGCTGAAAAAAACCCCCCAAAAAATTCCCCGAAAATGCTAAAAAAAATTCCCAAAATTCCCAAAAATTTTTTTAACAATTCTCTCCATTAAAATATTCCTTGCAAGGTCCTGGAAGATCAGTAAAAAAATTTACACAAAATGCAAAAAATACACAAAAAAATACCCAAAAAAATCCCAAAAAATTCCCCGAAAAGGCTAAAAAAATTCCAAAAAATTCCCAAAAAAATCCCAAAATTTCCCAAAATTTTTTTTTTTTTAATTCTCTCCATCAAAACATGCCTTGCAAGGCCCTGGAAGATCAGTAAAAAAAAATCACAAAAAATGCAAAAAATACACAAAAAAATGCTCAAAAAAATCCCAAAAAATTCCCCGAAAATGCTAAAAAAAATTCCCGAAATTCCCAAAAATTTTTTTAACAATTCTCTCCATCAAAACATACCTTGCAAGGTCCTGGAAGATCAGTAAAAAAATCACAAAAAATGCAAAAAATGCTCAAAAAAATCCCCAAAAAAATCCCCAAAAAATCCCAAAAAAATCCCAAAAAATTCCCCGAAAATGCTAAAAAAAATTCCCAAAATTCCCCAAATTTTTTTTAACAATTCTCTCCATCAAAGCATGCCTTGCAAGGTCCTGGAAGATCACAAAAAAAAAAATCACAAAAAATACAAAAAATGCTCAAAAAAATCCCCAAAAAATCCCAAAAAAATCCCAAAAAATTCCCAAAAATCCCCGGAATTCCCACCTTGAAGACGAACATCTCCCCGCGCAGCATGGCCACCGTGTCGAAGCCGCCGTCGCAGATCCGGGGCCCGTGGGGGGGGCCCGGGGGGGGGAGGGGCGGCGCCCGCGGGCTGGGGGAGGGGCGGGGGGAGGGGCCGGCCGAGGACCCTGCGAGAGAATTCCCAAAAATCCCATTTTGGGGGAAAAAATCGGCAATTTGGGCGATATTTCCTCAAATGGTCCCCGGATTGCCCAAACCGCCCCAATTTGGCACCGATTTCGCCGATTTCTCCCCAAAATTTGCCGATTTTCCCCCGATTTTCCCAATTTCTCCCCAATTTTTCCCGTTCATCCCCAATTTTGTCCATTTCTGCCCAGATTTTGCCATTTTTTCTCCCCA